ATATCCTCGCGAACGTTTCCTCCACAAATCCCTATCCAATGCCCCTTCGGAAAGTTGTCATCGAATGGGTTCCCACCAGGTCCAGTCAGCCTTTCGGTTGGTTAACCGCTGGTGGCCTTGGAGCCCGGGAGGGCCGAGGGGCCTCAACAGACGTCAGTCATCGGCCTCAACCGATCCCAGATCCATTGGCCTCCGTTCCCGTCCAAAGTGCGGCAGGTCCTTGACTGGACACAGATGGACTCCCTTCAACAGGAGGTTTTTGGCCAACAAACAGCCCTCCTGAGGAGGTCCGAGGTGACAATTATATCCTGCCCGACTGGCTTCATCTCAGCCCAGGCTGCTTATTTTCGCTCACACCCACACGCGTGTAAACCCACACACCACACGTGCTCACACGCACCCACACGTGCTCACACACACATGTTGACACGCCAACACACGCACACATTGACACACACATGTGCAATGCTCTCTCTCTCTCTCTCTCTCCCGGAGAAGATTCTGGCAGCCGGTCTCGCTGCTGTGCACAGAGCCATACGGCTGAGCAGACCTTGTGCCAGTGAGGGTCTGCAAACCAACAGCCACCTGTGCCACCCCCCCCCCCCACCCCACACACAGCCCCCCCACCCCACACACAGCCCCCACCCACCCCACACACAGCCCCCACCCACCCCACACACAGCCCACCCCGTCACACACACAGCCGCCCCCAACCCACACACAGCCCCCCCAACCCCACACACAGCCCACCCGTCACACACACAGCCGCCCCCAACCTCACACACAGCCCCCCCCACCCACACACAGCCCACCCCGTCACACACACAGCCGCCCCCAACCTCACACACAGCCCCCCCAACCCACACACAGCCACCCCCCACACACACAGCCGCCCCCCCACCCCACACACAGCCCACCCCGTCACACACACAGCCGCCCCCCAACCTCACACACAGCCGCCCCCCAACCCCACACACAGCCGCCCCCCCCACACACAGCCGCGCGCCCCACACACCGCAGCCCCTACACACACCGCAGCCCCCGCGCACACCGCAGCCCCCGCGCACACCGCAGCCCCTGCACACACCGCAGCCCCCACACACACCGCACCCCCCGCGCACACCGCACCCCCGCGCACACCGCACCCCCCGCGCACCCCCCCCGCGCACACCGCACCCCCTACACACACCGCACCCCCTACACACACCGCAGCCCCTACACACACCGCAGCCCCTACACACACCGCAGCCCCTACGCAGTTTGACAACTATTTTAAATTGGTGTCCTCGGGTTACTGACCCACTCTTAACCTTCTCTGCTCCAAGGAGACTAACCCCGGCTTCTCTCGCCACTCCTGATAACCGAAGTCCCTCGTTCCTGGTACCATCCTGTGTACCCTCTCCAATGCCTTGACATCCTTCCTGAGGTGTGGGGCCCAGAACTGAACACAGTCTCTCGCTGCGGCCGCACCAGTATTTTATATAAAGGTTCATCATAACTCCCTGACGTTTGTATTCTATGCCCCTATTTATAAAGCTTTACCCCGTATGCTTTTTTAACAGCTTTATCTCCCTGTCCGGCCAAGTTCAAAGATTTACTTACACGACCCCCAGGTCTCTCTGTCCCTTCACCCCCTTTGAGATTTTACCATCAGCGTATATTACCTCTCCTCATTCTTCCTCCAAAACATGCAACGGAGTGAAATGAGTTTGGTGAAGTTTGAGCTTAACTCTCCAGCGCGCACGCGTGTGTGTGTGTGTGTGTGTGAGAGTGCATGCATGTATGTGTGTGTGTGTGCGTGCGTGTGCGTGTGCTTGTGTGTTAGCTCAGGTCCCCCGCCTGCCCCGAAGCCCGTGGCTGTTATCGGGGATGTCACTGCGCAGGATTGGCTGCCGTGTCGCACAGCAGATATTTTCCCACGTTCTCTCCGTGTTTGTTTACCTCAATCGGCGTCTCATCCAAACGACGGCCATCGCCACCGCCGTATCTGCCCATCTCTGACGGAAATTGCTTCCTGTGAGATGTTTCCTGCGATGCCCTGAGTGACTGGGGAGATCGGGACCTGTGGCCGGGGTTTGGGAACGTTGTGGCCGCCGATTTGATGGGATTTCATTGCCGGGGTTCGGTGTATAATATGGGGTGCGGAGAAGCCGGGGGCAGGGAGAGAAACTGCTCTATTGTGGATATGAGAACAGTGTGAATATCAGGTCAGGTCTGTGTGTGTGTCTCTCTCTCTCTCTCTCTCTCTCTGGGGTTCAGGCCCCCACACTGAGACTTTGTACTCGCCCGCTCTAATACACTGGTCGAGGAGTGCCCTTTTGGGGGGGTACGTTAAAGATCCCCCATTTCTCTGCATCTTGGCCCCATGGATAAGTTCCCCCATGAATAAAATCCCGGTGTGCAAGTGCCCACCTACAAGAACAATAATAGTCCTTCCATTTGCAGCGCCTTATCATGTCGTTGGGTCTCTACCCCGAGTGAATATACATAGCTGTATAAATGCAAGTTGTTCTCGTTGTAAAGTGTAGCGACTGTGCATTTTGTGGGCGAAACGCCGCATCCAGTGTCCCACAAACAGCCATGGAAGTGAGTGACCGCTTTTATTCGGGGTGGGGGGGGGGGGGTTGTTGGCCAGGAGGCTGGGAGAGAGAGAGAGAGAGAGAGAGCGAGAGAGAGAAACTGCCTTCTCTTTTCCGATAATCCACACGGGGACGTCGCTGTGCGCAATTGGCCTTTCACCCACAAGACACACAGTCGCTACGCTTTGCGGTGTGTCCCGCGAAGCGCTTTGAGACGACCGTGATTATGGCATTGCATCGAATGCAAAGATTATTATTATTATTATTATTGTTCACAGCAAAGCTTGTGACGGGCAGCGAGGGGTGATAGGTATCCGATGTGAGGCCGAGGCTTGTTTGCTGTAGAGACACCGAGGGGCTGAGCACCAGCTGCCCACACAGTGAGTATCAGATGATGTGAAGGCGACGCATTAAAGCATCAAATTTTAATGAGGGGGAGTCAGGCCTGAGCTGGAAACACACACACGGCACTGGAGCACGACTGAGAGGCGTTCAGTGTGCGTGTTGCACGGCCAGAGAATCTAGGTCAAACCCCATCACCGTCCAGGCTCTGCCACCTCTCTGCGTCTCTGCGGCATTCACTCCCCCGCTGGTGGTGTGGGGGGGGGTGGGGGGTGCTCTGCTCGTCCTGGGTGGGGTGGGGGGGGTGGATCCCCCCCCCCCACCACCGCCGGCCACTCGCTCACGCTCTCCCTTCCGGAGTGGCTCCAAGTCAGACTCTGTCACTGACTGTCAAGCGCTCCAGGACCTAACCCACCCCCCCCTCCGCAACCCGGGCCCCTACCCCCACTCCGGTGAGAGAGAGAGAGAGAGCGAGAGGCAAGGGGGTGAGAGAGGTGGGGGAAGAGAGAGCAGCACGGGGGAGAGAGGGAGAGAGAAAGGCAAGGGGGGAGAGGGGGGTTTGGATGAAGTTCAGTCCACCTGATCTCATCCTTCCAGACACTCGCACTCCATCTTTCCCATTTCCACATAAACCCTTATTGTTTCCCGGCTTCGCCCACATTTCCTGCCCCCGGCGATCGCTAACCTTCTGCTGTGATGGGGGTGGGGGTGAGGGCGGGGTGTGGGTGGGGTGGGGGGCGTTACACGGTACATCTGTCTGCACATCGTGGCTGTGATCCCTCTGCGCTGTGTGTGTGTGTGTTTGTAACTGGGTGTGCGTGTCGGTGTGTGTGTGGGTGTGCATGTGTGTGCGGGTGTCTATGAGTTCATGTCGTGTGTGTGCGCGCGAGTCTGTGTTGTCTGTGTATCTGTTTGTGTGTCTGTGTGTGTGTGTTTAGTGTGTGTGTGTGTGTGTGTATATCTGTGTGTTTGTGTGTGTCTGTGTGTGTGTTTGTGTCACCTCTCTTTTTCCCCGTTGCAGGAGAAAAGGCTGTCGCTCCCCCTCTCTCCCCCCCACACCCCCCTCCCCACCCACCCCACACACGCGGTGACCAGAATCTCGACGGTAAGTTGCCTGTGAAGTGCTTTGAGACGTCTGGACCACGGGATCAGGTCCTGCGTCTGTGGGTTATTGTTAATCGTGGACCCATTGTTTGGAGATTATTCTCCCAGCGACTCGAGACCGAACCATCTCCCGACCGGACAAGGAGACACGTGACAGTGTGTGACTCCCTGGGGATCTCCAGCTCTGACACCAACTCCGAGCTTTCAACCTGGACCGAGACATGTGTCTACCCGGATCGGAGAGTCGCTGAGGCCAGACAGGGAGGTGGATGGTGGAGGCAGAGCTCATTGTGGGAGGTTAAACGGGTGTATAATAGAATATATAGCATAATAAGTACATAATAATAATAATCCTTGTGTCCGATACTGGGTCTGTCATGTTGGGAGGATGTCTTGAAAGTGCGCGATTGGCTGCCACCTTTCGCCCCCAAAATTTATATCGTCAATTCAGTTTACGGAGTGTCCCGTAAAGCGCTTCGGGACGTCTTGAAGACCCGATGAGGCGCCGTGCCGAAGGGCAGGATTATTATTATTATCATTATAAAGTGTAACGGGCCGCGACTGTGTGTTTCACAGGCAAACGCAGCAGCTAATTTGCATCACGTCGACGATAACAAATGCCCGCAAAGTTTTATTTGTGGATGGGCGGGGGCGGGGGCGGGGGGTTGGGATGGGGAGGTGTGGTGGGGGGGGTGTGGTGGCGCAGAACACTGGCGAGGAGAAACTTCTCTTTTCTCCACATCGTTATCGTTGAGCGAGAGAGAGAGGGGGGGAAGCGGTTTGTGTGGTTGGTGAAGCATTTGTTGGGCTCAGTCACCAGAACGAGCCGCGGTATCAGGGCTGTCCAGCCGGCATTCAGCAAACAGCAGTCACCCGATGATTAGCTGAGGCTCTGCCTGCCTCAGCTTTGGGCTGGGCTTACACCCTGGGGAGAGGAGGGGGGGGATGGAGTGAGGAGGGGAGGAGTGAGGAGAGGAGGGCAGACGAAAGGAGGGAAGGAGTGGGGAGGGGAGGTGCGGAGGGCACTGAGATATTATCTGTGGACAGACAGTGGACGGACACACATCAGACCCAGCCCCTCAGGTACAGACCTGCTGTTTTCTCTGTTAATGTCTGTCTGGCTCTTTGGGGGAGGGTGCGGGGTGGGGGTGAGGGGTGTGGGAGGGGGGGGATGTGTGGGGTGTGGGGGCAAGTAATCGGGATCTCCTCGGGGCTGAACTGGCTCCGAGGTGACGCACTTGACCACGGAATGGCAGAGCACAAGCCAACGCTCTGTGAGGGTCTGTCCACCACATTGTGTAGCGAGTCAGGAGGACGTCACAAGGCGCTGGACCGGGCAAGTCCAGAGTGTCCAGGGCACAGCTGACCCAACCCCCCCCCCACCCCCCACCCACCCCAGCCGAGCCCCCACACAGGCTCGGCCCCACTGATCACCCCCCCCCACCCCCACCCCTGTAAATAAAGGCAAAACAGGCGTTGTTAAGTGTTGGTGGCAGTGTTTATGTGAGGCATTTGTGTGTGAGTGTGAGGCTGTATGTGTGAGTGTGGGGCCGTGTGAATGAGTGTGGGTAGTGCGGGGGTATGAGCGAGTGTGTGCGTGTGCGAGTGTGTGTGAGTGAGTGTATTGATGTGTATGAGTGAGTGAGTGTGTGAGAGAGTATGTGTACTGTGGATATTTGTGCGAGTGAGTGTCAGTGTGTAATGTGAGTGTGTAGTGTGTGAGTGAGTGAGTGAGTGAGTGAGTGTGTGTGTAGTGTGAGTGAGTGTGTGTGTAATGTGAGTGAGTGTGAGTGAGTGAGTGTGTGTGTAGTGTGAGTGTGTGTGTAGTGTGAGTGAGTGTCAGTGTGTAATGTGAGTGTGTAGTGTGTGAGTGAGTGAGTGTGAGTGTGTGTGTAGTGTAAGTGTGAGTGAGTGAGTGTGTGTGTAGTGTGAGAGTGTGTGTAGTGTGAGTGTAGTGTGAGTGAGTGTGTGTGTAGTGTGAGTGAGTGAGTGAGTGTGTATGTAGTGTGAGTGAGTGAGTGAGTGTGAGTGTGTGTGTAGTGTGAGTGAGTGAGTGAGTGAGTGAGTGAGTGAGTGAGTGAGTGAGTGAGTGAGTGAGTGAGTGAGTGAGTGAGTGAGTGAGTGAGTGAGTGAGGGAGGGAGGGAGGGAGGGAGGGAGGGAGGGAGGGAGGGAGGGAGGGAGGGAGTGAGTGAAGCGAAGCTGTTTCTGAATTCAGATTTGCATTGGAAGAAATTTGCACGGGGAGTGGGGGTGTGGCGGGCGCGGGGTGGGGGGAGGTGGGGGGGTGGGGTGTGGCGGGCGCGGGGTGGGGGGGGGAGGGGGAGAGTGTGAGGCTGAAGTCACGGGGAGTGAGCAGGATGGGGTGGGGGCCTTATCTGGTACAGACACACACCGTCCTTTCCCCTCCGGGGAAACCACAGCGACGAACAGCCCCATCCGCGCTCACCAGTGTCAGCGTCAGCTCCAACAGCAACAACAACGTTCAATATGGAGCCTTTCACACCGGGAGGACCACGACAACAACAACAACAACAGCAGCAGCAACAGCAGCAACAATTTGCACTTATCCCGCGCCCTCCACGTGGGGCAGGGTCTCAGAGCGTCACGGCGGGGGAGGGTGGGGGAAGGCGGTTGTCAGCACGGTCAAACGAGAAGGTCTTCAGGCAGGACTTGGAAGAAGGGGAGGAAGGGAGGGGGGGTGGGTGGGTGGGGAGTGTGGTTTTTACTGCCTTTCTTCCCCCCCCCACACCCCCCACCCCCCGCCAGACCCCCACACGCGGTGACCTGGACTGTGATGTGAATGAGACACAGTAATAATAATAATAATATTAATAATAATAATAATGCTGATGATGCCTATGGTTAGTATTATTAAGTGGGCGGCACGAACACTCTCACAACTTCGCTCGGTCGCAGCTCCTGAGAGCACAGATGGTGGGAGCAGCGGGACATATGGCCACAGAAATAATCCTGATCTGGGAGTGAATTCATTTCTCTTTCTTCCTTTCCCTCCTTCCCTCTCTCCCTCTCCCTCTCCCTCTCTCCCTCTCGCTCTGTGATTTCAGTCGCTTTTTAGATTGGAAATCCTCTCACTCGTTTGCGGAGGGTTCAGTCCCTGCCCTTTGCCTCTTCCCGGCTCTATTCTGCCCGCGCTCTGCGTGTGAATCCTGGAGTCCCTCCAACTCACGGCCTCGCTCTTTCCCTCCCTCCCTCCCTCCCCTCACTCCTTCCCTTTCTCCCTCACTCCTTCCCTCCCTCTGACTCATTCCCCTGCGCTCTCTCTCTCCCTCCCTCCCTCCCTTCCCTCCAACTCGCTCCCTTGCTCTCTTCAACTCCTTGCCTCCTTTTCCCTCTCTCCCTCCCTCCTTTCACGTTCCGTCCCGAGACCTTCTTGGCCACACATTTGCTCAACTTCCCCCACGTCACCCCCACAAAACACACACATTGCGGGGGTCGGGGGGGGAAAGATTGAGCAAACGTGTGGCCCAAGGAGCCACTGGGGAACAGTCATATATATGTAGTGTTGGGAAATTGTGACACCCCCTCTCTCTTTCTCACTCTCTCTGTGTCTCTCACTCTCTCTCTCTCTCTCTCTCTCTCAGGGCTGGTGACGGTCAGGATGAGTTCGGAGCCACCCCAGGAGGAGGTGCCGCCCGGGCCCACCCCCGAGACCCCCGGCCCCGCTCCCGAAGACCCCCGGCCCCAGCACGTTCCCGAGGACGATCCCGAGACCCCAATCCCCGGGCCGGACCCCAGTCTTGGGGCGGACCCCATCGAGCAGAAGAAGCGAGTGAGCATGATCCTGAGGAGCCCGGTAAGCTCAGGCTCAGCACGAGGCCATTCAGCCCATTCAGCCTGTTCCACAATGTATCTGGTGCGAATGGGTTGCGTTTATACTGTGTCCCTGGTTACAGACGCTGACTGGAGGGGTGGGGGGGCATAGAGACTGGATACAGACCCCGATGGGGGGTGGGGGGGGGCCCAGCGACTGGGTACAGACCCCGAGGAGGGTGGGCACAGCGACTGGGTACAGACCCCGATGTGGGGGGCCCAGCGACTGGGTACAGACCCCGATGTGGGGGGCCCAGCGACTGGGTACAGACCCCGATGTGGGGGGCCCAGCGACTGGGTACAGACGCCGATGTGGGGGACCCAGCGACTGGGTACAGACCCCGATGTGGGGGGGGCACAGCGACTGGGTACAGACCCCGATGTGGGGGGGGCACAGCGACTGGGTACAGACCCCGATGTGGGGGGGGCACAGCGACTGGGTACAGACCCCGATGAGGGTGGGCACAGCGACTGGGTACAGACCCCGATGAGGGTGGACACAGCGACTGGTTACAGACCCCGATGTGGGGGGGGCACACCGACTGGGTACAGACCCCGATTGGGGGGTTGGGGCAGTGGGTATCGGGTGCTGACGTGTGGCGTTGAGGAGTGACAGAGAGAGAGTGGTGTGGTGTCTGTTGGCAGGAGTTCAGAGACGAGCTGGAGAGTCTGATTCAGGAGCAGATGAAGAAAGGAAACTTCTCCCCCAACCTCTTGGCTCTACGTCAGATTGTGGACTTCATGACCAGTACCCCCTCGGTCATCCCCACCTCACCCCCTGGAGGTAGGACCCCGGATTGTTCCCCCTGAGGAGGCTGACGATCAGAGAGAGAGACGCTGGAGGTTTGGCCGATCCTCATGTTGAGAAGATTCTGCTCAGGGTGGGGGGGGGGGGTGTGGTGGGGGGGGGTCTCGCTCTGAGGCACAAACTTTGGGGTTCGAGCCATCACATTGGGAGCTGATGCTCCAGTGCAGCTCTGGAGGTGGGGGGGAAAGGCTGTGTTGTCAGAGACCCCCGGCATTCGGATGAGACATTAAACCGAGCTCCTTGTTCTCTCTCCGGCCACAGTCCCCACCGTGAACTCACTCACTCACTCACTCACTCACTCACTCACTCACTCACTCACTCACTCACTCACTCACTCACTCACTCACTCACTCACTCACTCACTCACTCACTCACTCACACGACACACACAGTCACTGCACTGTACTGGCCTGCAGGCCTGGAGCTCAGCGGTTAACAGCCCTCGCCTCGAAAGCGAGAGGACCCGGGTTCGATTCCCGGGCAGGAGGCGAAACCTTGGGCAAGTTTCCTTACTCCACACACATACCACACACACACACACACACATACCACACACACACACGCCACACACACGCGCGCGCCTCTGTTTCCCGAGCAGTCAGTCGGAATCTGGTCGTTAGTCGATCGGTGGGTGGATCCCTTTCCGGGGGTAACAAATAATGCCTCAAAAAAAAAAATGAACGAATCGGTCACTTGCGGTCAATCACTCGAGACGTCCTCGTGAAGCTTAAGCGGCTATTATTCTGCTGACTATTATTTTCAGGGGTGTCGATGATCAGGCCCATCAATGACCTACAAACCATCGAGTCCCTGAACCTGGTGAAGGGCGAGCGACTGATGAGGTGTAAGATCGCCAGCATTTACCGCCTCCTGGACCTGTTCGGCTGGGCTCAGCTCGTGAACACCTACGTAACCGTGAGTGGCTCCGAGACGAAGGCACTGTGTATACAAGTGTACCTCGATGGCGTCGTCGTAGAATATTACAGCGCAGAAGGGAGGCCATTCGGCCCTTCGTGCCTGTGCCCCGGCTCTTTGGAAGAGCTGCCCAATTAGCCCCACTCCCCCGCTCTTACCCCAATCAGTCCCACTCCCCTATGCTCTCTCCCCCCCCCCCAAACCCCAGCGAATGTTTCCTTTCAGGCCGTGAGTTCCAGACCATAACAACTCTGTGTGTAAGAACATGTCTCCACATCTCATCCCCCCCCCCCCCCCCCCCCACCCCGGTCACTGCGCCTCCTCCAGTCCTGTTGAGTAGTATTGTGCGTTACAGCCCAGAAGGATTGACCCCTCGCGTTAGTGATCAGCCCCCCGGCCCCCCCACCCCACTGCTTGGCAGAGGGCGTATGGATTTCATGGCGTGCGAGGCTCGGCTCGGCTCCACGTGCGCTCTAAGGGAACGTACCAACATGGAGTCCTGTAGCTCAGCGGTTGGGGCTCGCGCCTCGCAAGCGAGAGGACCCGGGTTCGATCCCCAGGTCGGGGTGAAACGTTTGCCCGGGTTTCTTGTTCTCCGCAGCGAATGGGAACTCAATCGAACCGTCGCTTTTCTGGGGATAATAATTCCTCCAAACAAAATAGTGCGGTCACTCAAACCGCCACCGTTTGTGGGACGCTGCTGTGCGCGATTGGGCCGCTGTATTTTTTTCGCCCACAAAATAATTATAATGTTGTTTCCCCCCCTGTTCCCCCCCTGTTTCCCCCCCCCCCCCCTTCCCCCATCACGCAGCTGCGAGTCAGGAAAGAGCAGGACCACTTCCTGATTATCCCCCGAGGTCTGTCCTACGGTGAAGTCACCGCGTCCGTCCTGGTGAGTATCGACTGTCACCGCGATCCTTCCCGCTGGGGCGCGTTGTGCCGCGACTATTGTCCTGTCGTGGAGTCTCTGTAGCTCAGCGGTTAGAGCCCCCGCCTCGCAAGCGAGAGGACCCGGGTTCGATTCCCGGGGGGAAGGGGAAGGGGGAGGGGGTTGTCAGGACGAAATATTGGGCAAATTTCCTTTCTCCCCACACACACACATACACCTCTGTAAGTAGGAACCCGGTTGTTGGTCAATTGGTGGATGGCTTTTCCGGGGGTAATAATCCCATCAAAGTAATTAGTAATAATAATTTGGTCACTTCGATCCACGATTGTTTTGTGGGAACGTCGCTGGGCCCAAAACACACAGTCACTACACTTCACGGTGTATCCCGTGAAGCACTTTTGAAACGTCTCGAAGACGTGATAAAGCGCTGTGTCAAATGAAAGGAGTATTATTAAATTATTGTTAATATTTTTATATTACTATAATAATAATATTATTGAGTAACCTATAGCGGACACTCCCCCCCCCCCCCCCCCGGGAGACTTTCCCCACATGGTGTTTGGAACTGCGCAGGATTTACTGTCAAGCGTAGTGACTGTATATTTTGCAGGCAAAGGCGACGGCCGATTTACACACAGCAATAGCCCCGCAACAGCCCTGGAGTGAGTGACGGAATTTATTGAGGTGGGGGTGTGGGGGGGCCCTATCCAGGACAAAAAGCCCCCTCCCCACCCCGACCCCCAAATAAAGCTCCCCCTTGCGCTGAGCTGGAGCGAGAGTCGGGGCTGTGTGGGTGGGTGGGTGACCGGAGAGCTTCCTGGGGGAGGGGAGGCAGATACTACAGAAGGAGAAGCAGAGGTCGGGTGACACAGGACGTGGTGTTGCTCAACAGCCTCCGGTGCTCGGTTGTGCAAGTGGTTGAATACGTTTGGCGTCTGTTTCGCAGCGAGTTACAGGGCTGTACATACAGGGCTGGGCTTGTGGGGGTGGGGGGGGTGGGGGGGGGCAGGGGGTGGGTTTGTGTCTGTATATGTGTGTGTGTGTATCTGTGTGTGATTGTGAGTGTGTGTGTCTGTGTGCGTGTGTGTCTCTCAGTGCGTGGGAGTGATTGAGTGTGTGTGACTGTGTGAGTGTGTGTGTGTGTGTCTCTGAGTGTGTGTGTGTGAGTGAGTGACTGAGTGTACGTGAGTGTGTCTGTGAGTGTGTATATAATAGTCTGTGTGTTGCTTCCAGGTGAAGGTGAATATTCTGGGGGAGGTGGTGTCCGAGGGCAGCTCCGGCTTCAGTGTGGACGTGGCTGGGTTCAGTCTTCACTCCGCCATCTACGCTGCCCGGCCTGACATCCGCTGTGTTATCCACTTACACACCCCGGCTACAGCCGCTGTGAGTACACACTTACACACTTACACCATGAGTACACACTTACACTGTGAGTACACACTTACACTGTGAGTACACACTGACACGGGAACCCGAGGTCTCAATTGTAAACAATTCCGAGTCTGGGGGTTGGGGCCATTTTTCCGCGACGTTGTGATACATCTGTGTCTGTGTGTGTGTCTGTGTGTGTGTGTGTGTGTGTCTGACTCTGTGTGTGTGTGTGTCTGACTCTGTGTGTGTGTGTGTGACTCTCTGTGTCTCGGTCTCCCCAGGTGTCGGCCATGAGGTGTGGGTTACTGTCCGTGTCTCACGAGGCGCTGCTGGTGGGAGAAGTCGCTTATTACGACTACAACGGAGCCCTGGACGAGGAGGGCGACAGGATCCAATTACAGAAGAGCCTCGGCCCCTCCTGCAAGGTCTCCCCCACACCACCCACCACAGTGACCCCCACCCCCCCCAACCCAGCGACCCCCACATCCACCCCCACCGCACCTGCCCCACCACAGTGACCCCACATCCCCATCACCCCCACTCTGCCACCACAGCGGCCTCCACCCCGAACCCAACCCTTTACACCGACCCCCACATCCCCACCACCCCCCACACACACTGAACCCCAACCCCTCGCCCCCACCCCCTGCTCTTTCCCTCTATGGAGGCGAGGCTGGTGCTCGCTCCCCTCACTGAGGCTCTATAGCCCATTCACCGTCACCCTGGGTGTGAATCGGCCGCCACCTTCACCAGCAAACACAGTCACTTCACAGACTCTCCTCCTGACAGGAAGCCGCTGGTAACAAATGTAAATTTTATTATTCTGGTCATTAAAATCTGATGTTGTTGCTTGTTCAGGTGCTAATTCTGAGGAACCACGGAGTGGTGGCCCTGGGGGAGACCATGGAGGAGGCCTTCTATAAGATTTACCATCTGCAGTCAGCCTGTGAGATACAGGTAAACACCAGCGGACTCCACACCTGGTCTCAGCCCATCAGTCTCTCTCTCTCTGTCTCTCTCTCTCATCCTCAGTCACAAGGTCCAGAGTTCCAGCCTCTACGGCAAGACTTGGTGGGGTGGGTGGGGGGGCCACTGAGTTGTTGGCAGTGCCATCCTTCAGATGTCACGTTAACCTGAGCTCTCTCTCCTCTCTCCCCCCCTCCACCACCACTATCTCCCCTCTTCCCACACCCCTCTCTCTCTCCTCGCCTCTCTGCCCCCTCCATTCCCCCCCCCACCTCCTCTCTCTCCCCCCCACCCGCCCGCCCTCACTATACAGATCTCGTCCCTATCGAGTGCCGGGGGAGTGGAGAACGTGATTATGTTGGACAGAGACAAGTACAGACGTCAGGAGGTGGGGAGCGTGGGTTGGGCCGGGAGCACATTCGGGAGAATGCGCAGCAGCCGTGTGGGTGAACACGAGTTTGAGGCCCTGATGAGGATGTTGGACAACCTGGTGAGTCAACAACAGCAGCAGTAACAACAACATGCCCTGACCAGCGTCTTCCCGCGGGATTGGTTAGGGGGGGAATTGGTGTCGGCGGCTTCGGACAAGACCTTAACCCCGGTTCTTGCCCACGCATCCCCCCCCCCCCACCCACCTGATACCCACAGGGGACCATTTGGAAAAGAGGTTGGGGGTGAGTGAGGGAGAGCTATGTGTGTGTGCGCATGTGAGAGTGTGTGTGTATATGTGTGAGAGATCTAATCCCTGCAGAACCCCCCCCACCACCCAACCGTTTCCCCCATCACAGAGTCCTGGCCTCAACCCCCTCCTCCTCCTCCTCCTCCTCCCGGTCGTTTATCACCCGACTGACCCTAACCCTCAAGGAGCCGGGTTCTCAATAAGCTCCGAATTGTGATTGTGAGGTGGGGGTGTGGGGAAAGTTATAATAAGGAACCTTTTAATGCAGGCGGGAGAGTCAGCCCCACAGTGACTCCTGAGACCGTGTGTCGCGCCACAAATCATTTGCCCGCGCAGTCACTACACTTTGCAGTGTATCCCGGGCAGCTCTTTGAGACGTCCGGATGAAGTGTTCAGGCGCTGTCTTACATACAAGAAGTACTGGAGTCCTGTAGCTCAGCGGTTAGAGCACTCGCTTTGCAAGTGAGAGACCGGAGTTCAATTCCAGGCAGAGGGCGAAACCTTGGGCAAGTTTCCTTACTCCACACAGAGCCTAATAATAATCCCTCCAACACCCAAAACAATAATAAATTGGTCATTTTCAATCCACGACTGTTTGTGGGACATTGCTGTGCGCAATTGGCCGCCGCGTTCGCCCACAAATATACAGTCAATTCACTTTACAGTGTGTTCTGTGAAGCGCTTTGGGACGTCCTCCTGACGTGAAAAGCGCTATATCAAATGCGAGGATTATTATTATTATTATTATTGCTAATTAAGTAGTACAGTAATACAAGTAGTATTACCATCATATGTCCCACTGCGGCTGCCGTGTGGTGATGTGGCCACAGGAGGGCGCTGCGTCCCCCCATATTGTCTGTGAGTCGGTCTCACACACACACACACACACACAGAGAGAGCCTCAGCCGTGGAGGATGTGGAGGCGCAGCGCCTTCCTGTGGCCACACCGGGTATCGCAGCGGCCGTGCGGGGCGGTGGCCACAGGAGGGCGCTGTCTCCATTCAGTTTTCGCTGAGAATCTCCCAAACTGGAGAGACGGTCAACAACAACAACAACAACAACAGCAACAACAGCAACAACAGCAACAACAACATGACACGTGTACAGCGCCTTCCGCGCTTGGACGGCGTACGGCATTCCCGACCCGAGCCGGGGTCAGGGAGGGAGAGGGGGAAGGGGGAGAGGAAGGTTGGGGGGGGTTGTGATCGATGGCATAGTTGAAGGAGTGGGGGGGGGGGGGTGGGGGGGGAGGTTGGGGGTGGGGGGGGGTGGCGAGGCGGAGTGATTGGGGGGGATGGAATTCCAGAGGATGGGGGCGGACGTTTGGAGACGCTTCACACTGAACTCGGGACGTTGGGAGGATTCGTGGGGTTTGGTTGAAAGGACTTGGTTCGGGATGAATAGACTGGTTGGAACAGGCTTGAGGGGCTGAATGGCCTCTACGTTAAAGCGTCTGCTGCGTTGTGCTGGTGTCGGCACGGGGAGGGCACTCTCCACCACACAGTCACTGCGCTTTAGAGTAGGTTCTGTGAAGCGCCTGAAGACGTGATAGGATTGCGACCGTTATCGAGGTGCGTGTGTGTGTGTGTGTTGTGTGAGCCACTGCTCTGTGATACCTCAGGGCTACCGGACGGGCTACGCCTACAGATACCCCGTGATCCAGGAGAGGACCAAACACAAGCGTGAGGTGGAGATTCCGGCCACCGTCACCGCATTCTCCTTCGAGGAGGAACCGCTCCCCCTGTCCTCGCTCCGGCACCACAGCCAGCGGCAGCAGCAGGAGAAGACACGGTGGCTGAACTCGCCCAACACCTACCTGAGGGTCAATGTGAACGAAGAGACCCCGTGGGGTCCCAGCAGCCCTCGGGCCAAGACCACGGTAGGTCACAGCCCCGGGAAGTGAGGAGGTGGGGGTAGGGGGGTGGGGGGGGGGGGAACACGACGGGGTCTTTGAGTTCACGGTGAGGGGAGGGGAGGGGGGGAACGGATGGGAAAACAATTAATGCACAGAATGCAGATACTCCCGGGGTGGGGGGGGAGGGGGGGGAGAGGGATGGAAGGAGGCAAAGTTATATCAAATACATACCCAGAGGACTGACTGCTTCACTGCTGCTGTGACAGAAACACTGCCCCCCCTACGATTAATAATAATCACTGCAGTCAACGCCTCCTCCCGTTACTGTCCTGTATCGTATCATCGCCACTTGTGTTTGTTGTTGCTTCTCAGCTGTGTGTGTGTGTGGGGGGGGGGGGGGGGGGGGGGAGGGGGGGGTTCTCTGTCACGTTGGGACATCTCGTTGGGGCAGTGACATCTGCTGACGCAGTGCGTTTCCTCCCAAACAGTGGCTGAAGGCGGACGAGGTGACCAGGCTCAGCAGTGGGACTTCGATCAAGATCGAGACTCCCAACCAGTTTGTGCCGCTGTTTACGGACCCTCGTGAAGTGCTGGAGACCAGGAACAAGGTGAGAGCCATTGCGGGTTCAGGTGAATGAGGTCCCTTTGGCCCAATTTGATCTCAACCCTTATACAATCTCCACACTCCCCCTCCTGCCATCTCCCAGTGTCCAGCTGTGTATCCTCAATGATTCCCAGCGTCCCATCAGCCACAGTGTTCCCAGTTAATTCTCCGATAGATAAAGCCATACTTCCCGGTGTCTGTCCCGAAATTGCCCCTTTGCAGCTCTAAACCCCGAGTCCTCCTGTTGTCCCCCTTTTACCCCCCTTGGCGTCTGGTACCGTGCTGTGCTCAGCGTCCGACACCCCGTACCCGGTTGTTGAGACCAGATAACCGCACGCGGACTGGGATTCAGAGATTTACAAAGACTCACAGAGATTGTACGACACGGAAACCCGACCAGTCCGTGAAAGTGCTCATCCTCAGCCACTCCGCTGCCTCCCACACCTTCTCTTCCCCTCTCCCTCATGTGAACGTCCAGCTTCCTCTGGACTCTACCGGCACGGACACTGTTCGAATCCACCATCGCTCAGGCAGCGAGTCCCACACTCTGTGGATAAGATCCAGCGACGTGGTCTGTCCTGGCTGGGCCAGGGGAGGGGAGCGGTCTCCCCTCTCAGTACAACACTCTCTCCGTCTCCCTCTCTCCCTCCCTCTTCGTCCCTGCCCTCCCTCCTTTTCTCTCTTCCTCTCTCCGTCCCGGCTTCCCTCTCTCCCTCCCGCTGGTTGGGTAACGTGTCTTTTTTTGTCGTAAGATTCGGGAGCAAAACCGGCAGGATATGAAGTCGGCCGGTCCCCAGTCACAGCTCCTGGCGTCCGTCATCACAGACAAGAGCCGCAGCCCAGTGAGTGACAGCCACACCTCAACTGACACACTGCCTACTGCCAGCTCCTCACCTCACTCCTCTCCCCTCTTCGCGGTCCTCTCTTCCTTCTCACATCTCTTGCTCTATCTCCTCTCTTTCTGCCTTCCCCTCTCTCCACGCACCTCTTACTTCTCTCCTCTTCTACTCTCCCCCTCTCTTTTTTCCCTTCTTTCTCTCTGTCTCTCTCTCTCTATCTCCTCTCTTTCTCTCCACGTGCCTGTCGCCCCCCCTCTCTCTCTCGTTCTCTTCCTGAACGATCAGTCACTCAGCACACCTTTGGCTTCGGGCTGAGCTAACATCTCGCTCTCTCTCTCTCTCTCTCTCTTTCTCCCCCCCCCCCCCACCCCTCTCACTGCCCCCACCACCTCTCAGTCTGCAGATGGGGAGTTGTCATCAGAAGCCAGGACTCTGACGCGGGAGGAAACCCACGAGGACACGACGCAGCCTGAGCCCCCCAACCCCTTCAATGAGCTGACTGACCAGGAGCTGGAGGAGTACAAGAGAGAAGTGGAGCACAAGCAGATGGGAATCGATGGTAATTAGTTTGGGGGGGGGGGGTGCGTGTGGGGATGGGGGAGTGGGGGTTGGGGAATCTCGACCTATACCTTGCGGGTGGGGAGGGGGGGAGGGTGTGCCTTGCAGTGTGTAAAAGCAAATAGCCACCGCCATTGCCTACAAAACACAGTCACTACGCTTAGCTGACGCTCCAATGCAGTGCTGGAAGGAGAGAGGAGTTATTGCCACAACACCATAGCCCCATGTGGTGACGTGTGCTGAGAGCTCACTAACCTTATTTGTCTCACTCAGTGCATTTACGCTCAGGCACTCCCGAGACCGACTGAGTCTCCATTTCTCTCCCGTCTAATCCCTCCTTTTTTTCTGGATTACTCCTCAATGCATTGCTATCCATCTCTCTCAGCCCTCTGCGTAACTTGTTTGACCTCTCTGATGCTACGTCCTGATTCCCTCCCCCCCCCCCCCCCTCGAAATTAATTTCTCCACCGCACTAGTTCACCTCCCTGCAAGGACGTTGGTCCCAGCCCTGTTCACGTGTAAGCCACCCACCTTGTACAGGTCCCACCTGCCCCAGAACTGGTCCCAATGATCCGGGAACCTGAAGCCCTCCTTTCTGCACCATACCTCCAGCCATGCGTTCACGTGTTTGATCTGCTGTTTTGATACTCACTTGCACGAGGCACTGGGAGTAATCCAGGGTTCACCACCTCTGAGGTTCTACTCTTTAGCCTTTTCCCTAACTTCTAATACTCTCCCTGTAGGACCTCAGCCCTTTTTTTCCCTACGTCATAGATCCCTACATGGACCATGACATTTGGATGTTCCCCTTCCCCCTGTAGAATGTTTTGCACCTTTTCCATGATGCCTTCAACCCTGGCGTCATGGAGGCAACAGACCATGCACGAGTCACGTCTTTGGTTGCAGAAACATCTGTCTACTCCTTTCACCATTGTGTCCCCAATGACAGTTGCATAGACACTCTTCCTCTGTGCATCCATTTGCTTTTTGACTCCTCTCCCCAGAGGTGTCTTCACTCTGACTGGTATTCAGTACAGAGAACCGGTTTGTGAGTGCCACAGTCTCAGGGGATTTCTGCAGTGCCCATCCCCTCCTCCTGCCGAGGACGTTGGTCCCAGCCTCTGTTCACGTGTAACTCTCACCCATTCACTCTCCTTCTGAACCCTCTGTGGCTGTGGGGTGACCACCTCCTAAACGTTCGATCCATAAACTCTTCAGCCTCCCGTAAGCTACGTAGTGACACCAGCCTCTCCTCAAGCTCAGAAACCCTGAGCTCCAGCTCGAGCAGCCGGAGGAACTTCCTACACGTTTGTCCAGGGCACACAAAGTATCCTGGAGCTCCCACGAGGGCACACATTGCGCATGTAACCGGTCTCAACTGCCCTGCCATTTTTAATATCGCTATTATATACTTATAATTATGCACCTCTTTCCCCTCTGCACCAAATTCCCACTCTCACCAAATTCCTTAACAGAATTCTCACTCTGTTCCACCTCACACTGCTGGGCTCTCTGCTCCAGGAGCTGAGTGGAATGACTCCTTGGCCCCAGTGACTGGTCGGCCCTTCCAGGTCCTGTCGATGAGCCAGGCCGGGCTGCGCTGCCATCAGCAGTGAGTGCCCTGGGATACTGTAGACCCACTTGGCTCATGAACCGGACTAGAGACCGGCACAGAGGGGCTGGCATTCCTTTGCCATGTAGGTCACTTGGGGCCAGTTCAGCTCCCAGGAGACCCCATTTACCTCCCCATCACCCCTCCCAGGAGGATAGTCACTATTTGGCTGAGGATCATCTATCTGACCAACTGACAGAATCAATAGGCAAGTTTATACTTGCCCACCCACACCCAAAAACACAGTCACTCCACTGTACAGTATCACCTACAAAGCACTTGGGGACGTCCTCCTGATGTGAAAGACACTGTACTGAATAAAAGGATTATTATTGCTTTACATTTTCCGCGTTTCCAAAACTCCGCAGGTCCGGACGACGAGAATACCTCAGCCGGAGTCTCTCCACTCAAGACCCCGCTAATGTCACCGCTTAAGTCACCCAAGTCTCCCCGGTCACCGGGAGGTAAGCTGCCCGAGAGGGAGGGGAGGGAGGGAGGGAGGGAAGTGGGGAGGTGAAGGGAGCCCCACGTTGTTGGGATGAGATATTGAACCCCAACTGTCAGCCTATTGGGGTGGATGTTAAAGATCGCTACCCCGGTGCTATAGGAGTTTCTCCCGCTCGGTGTCCTGGCCGACAATCCCTCCCCCCCCAGACAGGGTCAGTCACTCACTTCACGGCTGTTTGTGAGGATATCACTTTGCGCAAATTGGCCTCTGGGTTTGCCTACAAAAACCCTTTACAGTAAAATCCTGTGAGGCACATTGAGACATAGCGACGTGATAAGACGCTGCATTAGAATGTAAGGCTTTTTATATTGTAGTGGGTGGTGGGGGGGGTGGAAGTGGGGTAAATCCAGGTGGACATATTGCTTCCCCCCCTGTAAGGAGGGGTGAAGGTGCCCAGGGAGATGGAAGATGATCTTTGTCGGTGCTTCCTGTCAACCACGTCTCGGTCGTGTCCCGCCATGTCCGTTTCCTCCCCCCCCCACCCACCCCCCGTGCTTCAAGGCTGCTTGTTTGGTGTCTCTGGTTTCGCTGCTGTTTCCCGCTCAGTGTCTCTGGCCTGTCATTTACTGAATGAGAGAAGCGATCCTCGATGGGGGTGGGTGGGTGGGTGGGGGGTTGAGTGGGGGGTGAGTGACAGCTGAGCAATGAGAATGGAGGCTTGATGCACTGGGAGGGAGGGGGTCGGGGGGGGTCAGCGTGAATGGAGGGAGGGTGGCGGGGTGAAGGAGATGAGGGAAGGGGTGATGGGGGAGGAGAGAGATTTCCTCACGAGTCGCAGAAGGTTCTTTTAAGAAACTAAGGAAAAAATTTAATTGAGTTCAGCAATTTATCCGGTTCCCGAAGCTACGGAAGTGACTGAGTGATTGCAGATCGGGGTGATTTTCTCACCCGCTTCTCTTCACGTGGATTCAGTGTTGGAGGATCCACTCGGTCTTCACAAGAGATGTCTCGATGTGAGGGGCTAGGGCTGGGGTTGGGAATTGGGCTGGGATTGGGCCTGGGGTCGGGAATGGGCCTTGGGTTGGCGGTTGGGAGAAACGGGCTTGGAATGGACCTGGGGTTGGGAATGGGCCTTGGGTTGGGAATGGGCCTTGGGTTGGCGGTTGGGAAACGGGCTTGGAATGGACCTGGGGTTGGGAATGGGTCTTGGGTTTGGGAATGGGGCTGAGGATGGGAGTTGGGGATCAGGTTGGGGGGAATCACAGAGACACGCACAAGATGGATGGCAAGAAGTGCCCCCTTGTCCAGAGGGCAGCGCGTGGGGGGTAGCATGGACGGCCTGAAAGACTGGATGCTTCTCAATTTCTGTCAAATGTGGTAATTGTGTGATGCATTGTGAGTCACCTTGCTCCATTTCTGTTCTCTTTCTCTCTCTCTCTTTCTCTCTCTCTGTGTTTGGCTCACACTAAAAGGAGTTCCTCATGATACTGAGTACTTGTCTTTGTAGTAAGTATATTGTTTGCCCCCACCCCCCCCCCCCCTTCCCACAGCCCCCCAATTCCCCGGATAATGCCTTGCGATCCTCAGAATGACTTCCCTGAAAGCGTCCGGAAGCGGTGGTTGAAGTAGAGAGCGGATATGAGGGGGGAACAGGGGAGGAGAGAGAGAGAGAGCGTGGGAGCCAACACAGACAAGGACTAGTTGGCGAGTGGTCTGTCTCTGTTCTGAGGAGAAATTCCATCTTGTAGCCCCCAGGGGTGACTGGAATTGGTTTCTGTGGGCGGAGGGGAGGAGGTCGTTTGGGTTTCTGAGGGAGTGGGAGAGTTTCCTCTGTCGTGACACTCAACAGTGCTAAACAAACCCACGGAGCATTGCCCCTATTTGCTCCGGTTTCCCCCGAGGCCTGGTCAGGAGTGCTGGGCTCTTTCCCGCTCGGAGCTTCCTGTTTTAGCAAACGAAGGAAGTCTGTAGATCTGACGTGTGGCTTTGCTTTCCTGAAGAAACCGAGGAGGCGGGAGATTTAAAGGACCCGGGCGACGCGGAGATCGCGGAGAGCGAAGTGCTGGTGGTCAACGGGGAGGAGGAGGAGAGGTCTGCGGAGGACGAGCTGAGCAAGGGAATAAGCCAGATGATGAGCAACGCTGAGAACGGGACGGAGACCCCCGCCAAGACGGCCAAGGAGAAACCGGAGCCCGGCACTGGGGGGCCGCTCACACCAGAGGGCTCCCCCTCCAAATCCCCCTCCAAAAAGAAGAAGAAATTTCGCACCCCGTCCTTCCTGAAGAAGAGCAAAAAGAGGGAGAAGAGCGAGTCCTGAATGGGGGGAGGGGAGGGGCTGGGGGGGAAGGGGAGGAGGGGGCAATGAAATAACTTTGCAAAGGAGCATCCGGAACAAACACACGCACACACACACACACGTATGTGTGCACGCAAAGCTACACGCTACTGTATACACGCGCACACACGTGAGGTTTTGTATTCGGTTGTAAGTTGTTCAATACCGCCTTTTTTTTTAAATGAGATTTTCCCCGATGCTGGGGGTGGGAGGGGGAAATGGACAGTGGTGGGGGGGGGGGGGGGGGGAGATTTGACACCTATTTTGTGATGGGGGGGGGGGAGTAATGTAATATCCGGTGGGTAAGGGGAATGTCGAGATATCTCTCTCTCTCTCTCTGGCTTTTTGGAGGGTTCTGGATTTAGCAGGTGGGCAGGGGGTGTCGGGGGGGGGGGGGGGGGAGAGGAGAGGGAGGAGTGCCGGCAACGATCGGCCTCTCGCGATCAGTGTAGTGACTGTCAGTAGCCAATAAGCGACTCTGCCATTCGCTCCACTGGGTCAGGAGGCCCAGGGAGAGGTGGAACGAGAGCCCAGGGTGGGTGCTGGCAATTTACACCCAGTATTAGTCCAGAACTGGTAACGTTCTTCCCCCCCCCCCCCACTCCCCCCCCACCACCAGAATGCTTCCCGAAAATCCCACCCTCTCACCTCAACACTTGCCAAGATGATGGAATGCTGGAAGGCAAACCAGATGGACCTTAATATTCTTTTGCCTGAAAATCCTTATGTTCTTAAAGCCAAGGCTGACAATTCTCAAATGTCCAGTGTGAACCCGGATGCAAGGGAGGGGGGGGGAGACAGGAGGGGGGAGACGGGAGGGGGGAGACGGGAGGTCAGGGGTAAGTAAATACCCAACTGTGTTCTGGATAAATAACAACATTGCCTTTGTTTATGCTGCGTCTTCACCAAGGCTCAACTCCGATCTCCTCTCCGCTCTCCCCCCCCCCCCACCCCTCAACCCTACCCCACCCTACCCTCAGTGTCCAAACATCATCCCTGTAAAGCACTCTGGGACGTGACACTACGTGAAGGCGGCAGGTTAGTTGCAAGTTGTTGCTGTTGTCGTGAAGGCTAAACATTGCGTGGGTGGAGTTTCCGTTGCAACGGTTGACCCACATCTTGCAAAGCCTCAAGTGAAAGATTCATCCAATTGCCCCACACGACAGATATGGTCACTCACTGTGTCACTCACACTGCACTGATACCCTGGGGGGCGGTGGTGGGGTGGGGGTGGGGGGGGGGTGGGGGGATGCGGGCGGTAATCAAGATAAACCATGTAGACCTTGCACAAACCAAATACCCCAGAAGGCAGAGTGTAATTAATGCCTTTGATATTCGAGTCGATCCCTTCTCTCCAGCTGTATAGATGGAATAATGATCTCCGCGGTTCCGATCGCTCGTAAACGAGGCATGTAGACGAGAGCTCCGACTGTATATTGTTTGGCCCCGAGACTAGACCGGGTGCTTGCCCTTCGCCGAGCTGTGTAACTTGTGCTGTCTGTGTCCTGACAAGCGTTGGCGAGAGGAAGCAATCCGATGTAACGTGCTCCGTCCGGCTTTGATGTCTTGTGGGTGAAACGGGAAATGCTGCCGCTTTGCGTCTCTCGCTGCCTTGCCGCGCTTCGGGATCTCTGGTGTAAATAGCCGGCCGGCCTCTGGATGCACGTGGGCCGATTCCTGGCGTGTCTTTGTATTGTAATTATTCCGCACTGTAATTAAAGGAAAGGCAAAACACGGAACTTAACTTGGCTTCGTCGCTCTCCCAACGCACTCATTGACCTCTCCAAAGCCTTCCCCCAGCCTCCCGCCCACTTATTGTAATGTCTCCACGTCTGACAGTGACCCTCCCGCACTTTACCAAGACTGCGACGGTCCCCACACCTGTGCGTACCCCGCCTCGTGTACTCGGTGGCCACTCTGTGAATCCACCGTGAAGTGCGAGAAATGTATCTAACGCCCAAAATACCGTATCACTTATGGCTCCGTGCCCCCACCCCACATGATCCTGTTTCAACTCGCGTCCAAATCCCAGACTTGATGTCAAAGTGGTATTGCTTTAAGATAAGATAGGTCTATGGACCTCCTCACACCCCCCGCCCACCCATGTCGCCGATCCCCAACTCCCACATCTGCCTCACCACCCTAGTAGGCTATGTCACCCTACGCTCATTTGCCCCCATCTCTTCCTCCTCTCTTTCCCCCACTATCATCAAGGTGAAGCCCACCACCTGCTCTCATGATCCCTCCCCAACCAGCTTCTGGTTACCCAACTCCCCCTCCTCTGCCCACAGCTGGTTGACACAATCAACCAGTCCCTCTCCTCAGGCTCTGTCCCGCTCTGTCTCCTCAAAACCGCTGTCATCACTGCTTAACAAAACCTACCCTCGATCCCTCCAAACTCAGAAATTTTAGACGCATCTCAAACCCGCCGTTCCTGGCCAAATCCTTGGGCGCACGTGGTGGCAAATCAACTTGGGTCACACCTCTCCCACCACTCCCTACTCGAACCCCTCCAGTCCGGTTTCCGCCCTGACCGCAGCACGGAATCGGTTTCTCCTCCTGTCCCGGGCCGGTCACCCGCGGGGCACAACAAGGCTCCATCCTTGGCCCACGTTTCCTCATCTCCACTTTCCCTCTCAGTGATGTCATCCGCAGACGTGGGGTCAATTTCCGCATTTCGTGGAGTCCTGTAGCTCAGTGGTTAGAGCACTCGCTTTGCGAGTGAGAGACCGGAGTTCAATTCCAGGCAGAGGGCGAAACCTTGGGCAAGTTTCCTTACTCCACACAGAGCCTAATAACAATCCCTCCAAAAACAAAAAACAATAATAAATTGGTCATTTTCAATCCACGACTGTTTGTGGGACATTGCTGTGCGCAATTGGCTGCCGCGTTCGCCCACAAATATACAGTCAATTCACTTTACAGTGTGTTCTGCGAAGCGCTTTGGGACGTCCTCCCGACGTGAACAGCGCCACATCAAATGCAAGGATTATTATTATTATTATTATATGTACGCGGATGACGCCCATAATCTACTCCTCCTCCTCCTCCTCCTCCTCCAGCCGTGGCCCCCAGTCCGCCGATGCCCTGTCAGTCTGTTTGACCGACGGACATCAAGGCCTGGATGAGCGCAAACGTCCCGCTTCCCCTCCTCCCCCACGTCCGTTCCCTGGGGTCAGACTCCACCGCCGCTGAGCGCTCGGGGACGCTGCCCCACCCCCCCGGTGCGGAGGGCGCGTTGTCGTCTGGTGAAAATAGTTGGGGACACGGTGAACGTCTCCAAAACAAAACATACTGTTGGTCTTGAAGTCCTGAATGCAAGTCACGACAACAGCCTAATGCAGCATTTTGGAGAGTCGCGTTTGAGATTTATGCGGCTCGACACACGGGAACCCACAGAGATGCTGCCTGGAGGTGGTGAGTCAATGGTGTACAGTCAGTTCCATATAATTGTCAATTTGTAATAGCATCAAACATGCATCAATGTGAAATGGATCTGATTGAAATACACCATGTCAAAAGGGGGCAAAACACTCCTGCTATAGAGCTCTTTCCACTTCATTTTAATTCAAAATTAGCCATTTATAAATTTCATCGCGTCTTTACACTCCAGTTAAAAGGAGCTGGTGCACAATCCGCAATGAAATGGTAGGTGTGTGGTGCACGTGTAGACTGGTTGATGACAGCTGTGTGCAAACAAGAATAAAGATGAAGCCTGTTCCCCTTGCACATTGCTTATTGTACGGGTGTTCAAGAAATGCTAAGCCTGAAGATCACATTGTCCCATTCCTAAATCCAACCCCAGGACTTTAATACGGAGAACTTGCCCTGCCCGCAAAGTATGGCATAAACTATTGCTGTCTTGGCCTCAATGTTAATGCCTTTGCAAGTCATATTCATGCCACTCTAGACCAACAGAGCTATGCGATGAAATCCAGGGGTCGGTTAAATCCTCCCTTTCTGTTCATGTACTGCCTATAGGGGAAAGATTAACAAAAGAAATAAATTAGCACATTTTTCTTAGTATGACTGTCGTTAAGTAACAGAGATTAAGACTTTGTGCGATTGCAAGTTTTCATTTGGACCGGCAGGGTCAAAATCAAGACATATACCTTCGAACTTGCACATTGACAACTGGGACACTGTCCCACAAACATCTTAACACTGGAGCCTGGTAATCCTTGAACAAAGCCAGATATATCGGGCATGCAATGATATTGGAGTGAGACTGATCTCGCTGTGTCAGGTGGTATATTGTGGTTGCTGTTCTAGCAACAACAACTCACATTTATATAGCGCCCTTCACGAGGGATAGCATACGGGAATGCTTCACAGTGGTGGAGTCTGACAACGAGCCAAGGGGAGAGGGAAGTGACCGTAAGCATGATCAAAAAGGTCTTTAGACGGGATTTGAAAGTAGGCAAGGGGGAGGGATCGAGGGAGAGAGTTTCAGGGCGTAGTGGCTGAAGGCACAACCACCGATGATGGAGCGGAAGGCACATGTGATAATTAGGAGGCAAGAGCCAGCTGAGCGGAGGCAGCGGGTGGTGGAGTAGGGGGTAAACAGGTTGGATAGGTAGGGTTGTGCAAGGGAATGAAGTGATCTGAAAACAGCGGCAAGAACTGGCGTGATAGCAGAACAACTGTACAGATGGAGATTTGACCACACGGCGTTTTACTCACCGATACTTTCTTTTCTGCTGCACATTAACAGCAAAGGCATTCACGGAGCCATCCACTTTCTTCCCCTGCAGAATAAGACAGAAGCCTTCAACACTGACACCACTTATAATCTTAATACTTTTAGTTCAAAAGGAATACAGAAAGCATAATATTAAAGATTAGCATTCAAATACCCACTGAAAGGGGAGCCAAAGCTGGGACAAGGCAGTGCTCTGCTAACAAGTGCGAGGAGGATTTAAGAGGGGAATGAATTACTGCTGCTTACCTTTGTGGTATCAAAACCACCAAATCCCATTTGCTTCATCATTTCAATTTCTTCCTCGGTTTTCCCCTCCATATCTGCCTCTAGAGGGAAAACAAAGGGCATCTGATCATGATCGTCCAGCTCAGTCACTAACATATATTTGGAGAAAACTAGAATTTTTAAAAGAATACTTTAAATTTACTGGAACATTAAAGTGTTGTCCCAAATAACACTAAACCTCAAATTCTTTGCCTTCAAAGCAGAAATTGCAAACGTAGCAGAACGTTGATCAACGTCTTTGAGACATGACTTGTCTGGTTTATGTTTTTAGAGGTTACAGTGGAGGTTCTCAATGAAACATCAGATACTGATACAATAATACATTTGTAAAGCGCCTTTAACATCAGGAGGATGTCCCAAGGTGCTGAACAGTAGGGAATGGGACCAGAGCGGGAGGGAGTTTGAATACATAGCTTACAGAGGTTGCTAACATGGTCTACAACCTGATCATTTCAATTTAGAATGAACAAACATCTAGAAAACAATCCCAACACTAGTACCAGAATCCACAATGGTTAGTCGTTCATTTTCTGTATAAACCAGTTGAGCATTTCTACACTGAACTGTCTTCAGCTTTTCCTTGTTTTTAAAACTGCTTTGAAGCTCTACAGCAGCTGGCAGAGGAGTTTTGTGCAGTCAGAGAGCAAGACACACGGGGGGGGGTCAGAGATCAGGACACACAGGGGGTCAGCGAGCAGGAAAAACGGGTCAGAGATCGGGAAAAATAGGAGTTGAGTGAGCACCGTTGTGGAAGCCCTAGGGCCAGGAATGTATCTGTTTCCCCAGCCTGTGAAAGCAGCACATCCCACGCAGTCAAAGATAAATTCTCATTGATCGGCCAGACTACAAAGAACACTTTTGGTTTACCTGAAATCTGATGTTCTTTTCCTGCCTTGTCATCTTTTTGCCTGGAAGGAGAATCCGAAGCAGACCTGTGTCGCCGAGGAGACCTGGAGGACAATGCAGTGGGACGTTTTAACCCTGATGGTGCTGGGCTAACTAACATTTCCAATCACTTTGCACGATGATGCCCCAAAGCTAAATAAAGCCCAGTGTGAACAAACAAAAAATAAACTCTTGTCCCCCGCGCTCTGCTGGCTCCTCACCATTGGGACAGTCATAATGACTTTGCCTCAAGGGACATCTTTAATGGTCGGTCAGTAGTCCTCCTCCCTATTAAATCCCATCAATAACTACAGGGGACCAGTATTTGCCCCAGGTTACCAGACGTCAGCTCATTAGGTTAACTGTGTTCATGCAGTGATATCCTCAGCCCAAAGGCAAAGCCCCTGGAACCCCAATCACACAAAAAATCTTTCACGAGTATTCATAAGGAAACCAATGATGTTTGTGAACTGAGATGTATCTGAATCACTGCAGAGATGTTTCTATAATATGAATAAAACACCAAGTGTGGATTAACGAGGCTACGCTGTCGAGGTGGGATGGGACTGTCCCGAGCGGGTGAAACTGGCCATGAGTGCAGAGCGTGAACAGTCGAACCCGGTTCCAACCCAGACCTGGATCTCCTTCGGTGCGGGGACCGCGACCTGCTCCGCCTCCGCTCCCGGTCCCGATCTCGGGACCTGGATCGTTCCCGTCGCCGAGCTCGTTCCCGGTCCCTGGACGTCGATCGCGACCGGCGCCGTTCTGTGGAGCAAGGCAGCGGTCACAGCTTTCGCTCTCAGGCCCAGAGCTGACCATTTCCCCCCCCCCCCCCCCCGCCCGCTCCCTCCCTTCCCCTCACCCGACAACAGCGACGACAACGACAGCAACAACAACAACAACGACAGCAATCCCGCGCCCCCCCCCCCCTTCTCACGCACTCCCCCCGTCTCGGCCCCGAGGCTCTGGAACTCCATCCCCAGTGCCTTCGCCGCTTCCTCCCTTTCCTCCTTCAAGGCCGGTCTCAAAACCTTTCTCTTTGACTGTACCTTCAGCTCCGCTCTCGACTCTATACCCCCTCCTCGCTCCCTCCCTCCCCTCACCCTGACCATCCCCCCACCCCCTCCCTCCCCTCACCCTGACCATCCCCCCTCCTCACCCCCTCCCTCCCCTCCCCTCACCCTGACCATCCCCCCCCTTCCTCACCCCCTCCCCCCTCTCTCCGCTCCTCACCCCCTCCCCTCACCCTGACCATCCCCCCCCTTCCTCACCCCCTCCCTCCCCTCCCCTCAGGCTCACCCCCCCCCACCCCCCAAACACACGCCCCCTCCGCAGTGTACCCCCTCCTGACTGACCGCGGCGGGGCGGGGAGCGGGAGCGGCTGCGGCCCATGATGGCCGCCGGAAGCCGCCGGAAGCCGCGCGCGCGCGCCGGGGCTCTGGTCCGTCCCCCACAGCGGTCCCCCCCACCCCCCGCGGTCCCCCGCGCCGGGTTCCGCCGGCGACGCGTTCCCACTTTATTATTATTATTATTATTAATCATTAATTATTCATTCTTCTGCTTCTCTAAATCACCGTCGTCTGCAATGATCGGGTGGTTTGTTTCGGTCTATATCGTGTGTCCCTAATGGTTTAATCTCTGCTTTGCGTTCGCTGTCGTTGTTGATTGTGAACCATCATTTACTGTTGTTAATTATTTTGAGGGACAAAACATTTTCCCCCTTTCCCCCCCACACCCCCTCCCCCCCCAACTCACCCCCATTTCATTTGTTGAGGGGGAATAAATAACTTTAATATAACGATACCCCCCCACCACCCCCCGTCCCCCACTCCCGCCCACTCCCGCCGGGTTCGTTGTTGTCACCGTCTCCCCTCCCCAACAACAACAACAACAACGCCGACGACGAC